CAGACTACAGCCACGAGCACTTCTGTAAACCACAGCAGTCTGCAATTCCCTGATGGGTTTCTGCAGTCTAGAGATGCACCTGCCAAGGTGAACAATAACCAAATGTCTCTGCAAAATACAAGGAACCGTCTTACATAATTGTTGCTCCACACCATCTGCCCCATCAGAAGCTAAGGCAAATCCTAGTACACACATGTATGCGAGTATCTGTCCTTGTAAACTATTCTGATGCTTTTGTGAGACCTAATCATTTAAATTCATTTATTGCTGAATTTCTATGCTGTGCTTTAGGATCACTTGGTTATTTGGTATTAGATATATACCATACAATATTGTATATGATATACATACAATATTTCAAGAGTCTTCATGACCACATATCAATCATCATCATGTTCCTATTACACCTCCGGCGTTTAGTGCAGTGATGAAGCTCCTACACTCCTGTCTGTTTCTGGCAAGTCTTTCAGTGGTTCCTCATGACCCCATTTTAAAGTATTTTATTGAAAGATCTGTAGTCAGATGAGCTTCTAGGTATAAGAGGCAAAAAAGAAAGAAGCGGGCGGGAGGTCACATGTGGTAGAACAAATGACTGTCTGGCAAGATTTTAATTTCCCACTGGACTTTACCTGAACTCATTCTATATTGTGCAAGCCACAAAACAAGCTGCTCACCAGACAGGTTTAAATTCTTACATCCTGAAACTAGAGAAAGATTTTTTGGGGGGAGGGAGGAAAGGGGGAAATCAAGTTTGCATGAAAGGCTTTTTTCCTTATGCCACTAGACCTTAATGTACTACACACACACACACACACACACACACTACTTTTATTTTTTTAGTGTCCTAGGTTAAAAGACAGTAGATTAGCAGGGTCAACGGTAGATTAGCATTATATGTCATCATAGGTCAAGCTGTTAGAGGGTTACATCAGAATGCAGAAGTCACAAGAACCCCATAAAAAGTCAGCCTGAGATCACAAGTTTTACATCTTGTAATTTGATCACGAGATCAAGGGTTGAACAAAATTTAAAGTGGGTAGAGCCACAAAGATTGGTTTACCATGAAATACAAGTAAATCAAGTTATACATGAGAAATGTGTGTCCCCGTGTATAAGTATTTATCATTTAGATTTTTCTTTTTAAATTGCCAGGATGTTGTTGCTCAAATATGAAGTACATTAAAACTGGTGTAGGTTAACAAGATCATGTTGCTGGTGCCTCAGAAGAATGAGCTGTGATTAGACAACCAACCACCCATAATGAGAAGTGCTTTCAGAAGGGATGCTGTGAATACCCATTATGAAAATAGGTTTGCTTTTACTCCACAAATCTGTATCTTACATATCATCAATTGATAGCTGCTTGCTTTTTGTTACTTTTTGTTCCTCTTGGCAAGACAGCAAGTTCAATTCCATTCTGGCTCGAATGTCTTCAGATTTAACTTGTCAGTTGCTCAATAGCAAAGCCTATTATATTTGTATCTCCAATGCCATCATTTTTTTAAAATGCGGTTTCCCTCCTATCTTTTAAGGTTATTGCTGATGGCCATCCAGGCTGAATGTGCTCACAGGGTTCAATTCCTGAAGGGAACCATGCAGCTTGGTCCACAGGGCCTGCAAAAAAAAAAAAGGCAAAGCACATTGCCCCTGCAAATGGCCCCTCCTGGCCTTCCGCTTTGGCCCCTCCAAGATTCCCCAGAGCAACTGTGCTTTCCCACCTTCAAGGTCTTCAGTGTTCGAATCTCCTGTGCTTTTATTATAGGTCAATTCAGGAGTGACTGATTCTTCCTAAAAGTGGGGGGGCACGAGGCCTCCCTGCCCCAGCCACACTAGAATCCAGAGCCAGGTGGGGGAGCTTGGACCCCTGCACCTGCATGGGGGGCTCCCCCCGCCCCCAAGAGCAGCACCCGGCATGTGTCCCCGCCCCCCCAGGTCCTGCCCAGAGCAGGTGGCGGCTCCCCGCATGGCTCCTACCCCAACCTGGCTTCTGGCCAGGCCTGGGGACAGGGCCTCTGGGGCTGAAGAGCTGCAGCCAGGCCTTGGTAAGAACCTCCAAGGCAGCTGTGGAGAGCTGCGACCCTCCATCTGCCCTGGGCAGGGGGTTCAGGGGGCAGGGGACACAGGCTGGGGGCTGCTCTCTGGCCCCCCCACTCCAGGCAGGTGGAGGGCCGACAGCTCCCTGGGCTCCCCAGGCTGCTCTTACCCTGACTGGGCTCCAACTTCCAGCCTGGCCACGTGGAAGAAGAGGGGCAGAGGTCTAGGCCCGTGGCAAAAAGTGGATGGGCCATGGCCCCTTGGCCCCACCCCGGTCAATTTACTGTTGTGGGTTTTGGAAATGTCTTTAGGGCAACCAATCACAAACAAACATTCTCACCTCTCCAGATTAATGCCAAAATGTTCCCACTTGGGACCTAAAAGTAGGCACCCACATTTGAGGAATACATGTATTTATCCCAAGAATCACCTCTCCAGCCCACATTTTCATACCCCTGCCAGATCCCCAGATGCAATATTTCATAACATTACAACAGTCACGCTGTACAAAAACCAAACACGATTTTATTGTAAAAGATATTCAGCAATAAAAACAGACTAACTTCAATGTAACCCAGAACACGAATGCATTTTACACACACACACACACACACACACACACACACACACACACACACACACACACACACACACTACTAC